CCCCAAAACCCCAAAACCCCAAAACCCCAAAACCCCAAAACCCCTATCATCGACCAATGTATTGAAATCTTGACAACCAATGATATCCATATTTCGACCAAGCTTATTTTTATACATAGTAAACAGAAAAGTTATGCAAATGGCCTCCGGTACCGCCAGCGATGGAGGTAACAGTCTTTCCAGATGGGATGAAGAGAGAGTAGCTGAAAGAACCTCCTGTTCCTCCGAAGGTGTAGATCTTACCCAAGGAGGTAGTTACAGTCATGCTATCAATCACATTGCCATGTTTTCCTGAGATCTTAGTAATAGTTTCTCCAACCGCTAATGGGATACTTTGGTTGACAGTATTGTGATTCATCTCGTTTCCTGCATGTTGGCCTCCACTGAATTGGACACCTCCAGCTTCATAGATAGCTTCAAGACCGAAGACAAGATCGTTGTCATGGAGTACTCTCAATTCGGCCAACCTAGGAGTTCCGCTGCTAGTCAATGACGCCTTGTGCGTGGTATAGTCATTAAATTTGACAGTGTCTGCATGAGTTTTTCCTGCAACATTCGACTGAGTGAAGGTTGGGATCACTGGCATTGGAGGAGGAATGTAGGTAGCAGCTGGAGCAGGGGCTGGAGCTGGTGTTGGCATTGGGGCTGGCGCTGGAGGAGTGGCAGCTGTGGTTACCGTGAAGCCTCCAATAGAGAATGTACCAGCAGCTGGAGTAGTAGAGGTGGGAACAGGTGCTGGGGTTGGGATTCCGCCAACAGGAGTTGGGGCTGGGATTCCGCCAACAGGTGTTGGAGCTGGGATTCCACCAACAGGTGTTGGAGCTGGGATACCTCCCACAGGAGTTGGAGCAGGAATACCTCCAACTGGAACAGGTGCAGGGATTCCTCCAACAGGGGTAGGTGCAGGGATACCTCCGCTTGTAGTTGTCTTTTTAGTTGTAATAGTAACTCCTCCAAATCCTTTAGTTTTTGTTGTAGTTGTAGTTGTTGTGCTTCCTCCAATTGGGACTGGAGCTGGTGCTGGTGTTGGAATTCCCATTCCTCCGATTGGGACTGGGGCTGGAGTTGGAGCTGGGAAGGTATGAGTCTTTGGAGTATGATCCTTATGAGCGAAATATACTCCAATGTGATGGAGATGTCCTCCAAATCCTACTTTGAATCCCCTTACTAATCTTCCTGCTGGATCTTTGAGCTTAAATTTCTTCCCTCCTGTGCTTGTTCCGAAGGATACTGTTCTTCCCTTAGTAGTCTTGAACTCAATTCTATCAATCAAGTCTCCTGATCTTCCTTTAACTACTTTGATATCTTCTCCTGGGCCGAGGGTAAGATCTTGGTAGACAACCCCCTTAAGATACTCAGATCCCATCCTTGCTCCAGCGGATATTCCGTCATAAAACACTTCCATTCCTACGATATATTTTGAGCTCCAGACTCTAATGGCTGTGATCTTGTCTGGAGTCTTTCCAATCTTTGCTAATTCATCTTCGTCATTGTATGCGACAGTGTCAGGATGCCATTTTCCTGCTTCTTGGTATGTTCACTTTGCTCCCATAATTAGATAATTAATATATTAGATTCTCTATTCATTAAATATCGGAGTAGACGGGGTTTTGGGGTTTTGGGGTTTTGGGGTTTTGGGGTTTTGGGG